GGTTTCAGGTGAGCAGATGCAGGATGTCTTGTAGGTAGAGCCAACGCTTGCTGAGGGCAAATCTGGTGATCAGATGTGGAGTATGGAAGGAAAAGGGGCGTCGATGTCTCTGGTGTTTGTCCTGAGCCAGTGCCAGGACCACTCCCTCAAATCAAGCGGAGCAGATAGGGAAGGAGCAGATCAAGGGTTGTGCTCCGGACACGGCGAGTCTATGGAAAGCTCCTGAGAGTGGTGGTGTGTTTGCTTTGCTTTGCTGTGTTTCTGGCCAGCAGCTGTGGCTTCATGTTTTTCTCCAGCTGTTTCTACTGGCGACTCAGACACAACCATAGAGAAAGCAGACAAGAGAGCCATGCCTGGGCTTCAACAGAGCAAATGGCACAAGAGTTGGGATATTGGGAAGAGATCTAGTGAAATGATACAGAATTGAAAGACCCCCCCCCTCCTGGAACCACTTTTAATTAGTCAGGACTAATTACGTTAATTAACACTAGTTGTAAAAGCCTAACCCAAGCCAATTAAGCAAAAAGGGAACTAGTGACTTGTGTACCTGGAAAAGGCAGTGAGTAGCCTGTAAATGGGAAGGAAGAGCTATAAGACATCCGGTCTCAATCATGGCCTTGAACTAGGCCTGGACAGATAACTGTGTGACCCCATAGCCCCCGTATATGAGAGGGGGGAGGGACAGATCCAAGACAAAAAGTAGCAATGGGCTTCACAGTGAAATGGAGGGCAACGCCCAGTCCGACAGATCAGATACTGGGCTCACTGAAATAAAATATGCCTGACAGGATCGCCTAACAGAGGTCCAGGTTTTCAACACTCATGCAAAACTGGTGTCTAGCAACCACCCTCAGAACCATGGGGGCGGGAACAGCCTTTGTGTCCATCACTTCTAGTGAAGTGGGGCTGCGACCGGCCCTTTCTTTCTTACATGTAATAGCTAACATGAGCTCACTGTCCCCGATGCCACCTCGGTAGGGCCACAGATCCTTCTGTTTGTTGACATTTGATTATCCTGCACAAATCATGAGGAGCCTGCACAAACAGCCCAGCCAGTCATTATGAGAAAGCACGGCTTCATGTGAACGCTACCATTATGCTTCGCAGACCATTCATTAGACAGGCCCTGCTCTAGAACTGAACCAGCCGCCTACCTCACTCTGCGCCTCGGGGTTACCCTGGGGCCCATCCCAACGGGCCCAAGTGAACTCAGGGTGACTCACCCCAGAGACGCTTACTGCCGCACTTGTGGGCAGGCAAGGGCAGGCATTCTAAGCGGCTCTCGAGAAGTGGGAGCTCACACGCTGCTCACCTGTCCAGTAGCAGCAAAGGTGAAAGGAGACAGTACCTGCCGAGTACTTCCAGGCCCCTTGAGGGAGCATTTCTGAAGCCTCCACAAAACCACAACTGAACGCCTGACCCGAGGATTCATTCACTGACGCCGACAGCACAGGAAACAATGCAAACAATTCTACCTAGAATTCAGTGCCAGGAAAAAACTTTCCTCTCAAGTGACCTTCCGCAGGTGATAGGAACTGGATAGCGGTGGTTGGCCTGGCCGTCGGCCTGAGCGTGCCACATTTTCCACCCCTGATCGAGTCCTTCGTGTTTCAATCAATGTCAAGGCTGTTTCAGAAATAGCCACAGCAAGGACCTCATGCTGGCTTCCTGGTACACCTAGTCTCTCCTCGCTCCTAAATGACTCTTGCTTTTCTTTATCTGGTTTGAATCTGCTTTTGAAGCTGAAACTCGTAAGTGCTACCCACATTCCACAGTTATTCGGTACAGAGGCAGCACACGAGAGGGCTGACTGTTTCGGCAAACTCTCCAGGGCCACCCCTCCTGCACCAGTCCCCACCTGGGTCCGGGAGGCTCCCCCCACCCCCATCCCACGGTTGCTCTCTTCCCCTTGAGATGACACAGCCCCACACATGTCCTTCTGGAAACCCAGATTTCCTTGGCTGGGAAACTATCCCCACTTCCTTCATGTGCTGCAGATGCCCAGGTGAGGGGACGCAGGTGAGGGGTCCGGTCAACGGTGGCGTCCTACGCAAATGCAGGCTAACCCTTATCTCCGGAGAGGCAGCAGGGCATAAGTAGGTCATTCCTCCCTTCACCTCCTCACCTCTGTGGCAAGGAAGAAATCCGCCGAGCCAACACAGCCCTGTTTGGGGATGGGAGGGGCAGAGGAGGGGCAACCTCAGACTCTTTTTTAGATTTTTTAAATTGAGTATATCACACCCAGAGAAAAGTGCATGCATCTTCAGTGTACAACCCACCGCATTTAGACCGACATATATGCTTGTGCTATCCATGCGCCCACACCTGGGTCAAGGTGTGCAACATCCCCTAACCCGAATTACCTCCACACCCTCGCTCACGCCCAGGCACAGCCCCACACCCTCATCTCTAACACCATGGATTAGGGTTGCACGTTCTTGAACTTCATATGAAAGAAAATAATATAGTATATACGAGCGTACCTCCTAGGAGATGTTACAGTTCGGTTCCAGACCACCACGATAAAGCAAATATTGCAATAACACAAGATATCTTTTTGCTCACGGGGGGCATGCCTTGATTTGTGGAAACTCAAAGTGCAATCCAGTGGGGCGCAGTACAACAACAAGGCATGACTACAGCCTTGTGTCTGGCTTCTTTCACTCCATGTAATATTTTGGGGATTAATAGATGTTGCGGGTATTCACGCATTCTATTCTATTGGTATGTTAGCGTTCCACTGTCGGAGTGTACTGGTTTGTCCACCCTGCTGATGGACGTCTGAGCCACTTCCGGTTTTCAGCTATTGCAAACTGTTGCTATGAACGTTCTAGTATGTATTTTTGGTGGACACACGCACGCGTTTCTCTGGTCTGTGCACTCACAGGAGCGGAAGGGCTGGTGGGCACGTGACCAGCTGTGGTCGAACCTGCCACACAGTCTCAGTGTCACTGTGCCCATTTCCACTCTTTCCAGTAACGACCGTGGGTTTTTTGTTTGTTTGGTTGATTTTTGTGGGTGGTGTTTTTTGTGGTGGGTTTTTGTTTTGGTTTTTTGGTGGGGGGGTAGAACAAGCCTCTTTTTTGTGTGTGCCGAGGAATAAGCCTGCACTGTGGGGTCAGACAGACTGCAGTTCAAGTCCAAGCATCACCGCCCGCCTGAGTGACACTGGGTGGGTTGCCTAACTCTGGGAGGTCCCGTTCGCCCAGGGGATGAACCGCCCTCCCCAGCCTGAGTCTCATCCACATCCAACCCAAAGCGCCCCAGCATTTACAACCAACATCTTGCCCGGCAGGGTGGTCCGCACTAAGCAAACATTCTCTCCCTCCCTCTGGCCCACACCTGAAGTGCCCAACCTGCAGATAGCAAATACATTTTGGGCCTTTTCATCCTCATGGAGTCCTTTAAAATTCCTACATCGGTCATCCTGAGAACCTACTTAATGGCCTTCTTCCCCATTACTTGCGTGCTGAGCCACTCTGTCCATCCCATCACAGTCAGTGGGGGAAATCCAGGATGTGGGGAGGGTTCACATCAGACCAGAGCCTCCCAAGGTGAAATTAATAAAAGGTGCTTCCTGCAAAGTACCTTGGGGCCAGGAAATAGGTCCAAATTCACGTCTGTTTAAGTAATTATGGAAAGAGCTCCAAGATGCCTTGACTAAAACAAGCAAAATGAGGAAAAGAAGAGTCTGTCACTTTTGTATAAAAAGGACAGCGAAGGGTATGTATTTCTGTTGACTTACATCTAGAGATGGACACACAGATTCCCACCATGGGGCTGTGAGGAATGGCAACGATACGGCGGACCAGTCTCGGGGGAGATGCTTTGGAGCAGCCTTTGTGACGTTTGAGCTTGAAGAACCACATCGATAGATCCTCTATTCAAAACAGTTTTAATGTGTATGCTTATATATCTTCAAGATATGCACCAGGGGAATATAAATTCCTGACATAAACCCCATGGAGATGTCGGATGGATCGGCCCCAGCAAAGCAAGGTGCCTGGCAGATGGGTGTGTGGGGGTGAGTGTGCAGGCCGGGGGGTGCAGCAAGCACGCGTGCAGCTGAGCCTGCACATTGGGCAGCTCCAGGTGTAGGGTCACCTCGAAGGCAGTGCCCTGAATGTCCAAGCAGGAGACCCAGCTCAGCCATACAGGGTTGGATGGAGCAGGGGGCCCACATGGCTTCTCACAACCTCCTCTGCCACCTCACCCCTCAACTCTATGGGATTCAAACTCTGTCAGTAGAAATCTTGAATTTAAAAGAAAATTGACTAAATATCCTTTCAGGTCCAATGCACATGTGTGTAAAGGTGGCTGTGTGTGGGCGGAAGGGTTTGAGATGATGTGTCTGTGGGAGTGCACTACGCGTGTTTGTGGGTAAATGTACATACGGGGTGTGCTTACGTGTGTGTGTGCACTCAGCATAAAGAGCAGAAAAGACCCCCCTCCAATAAGGGGCAGGCCCTTGAAACACAACAGTGGGAAACACTTAGGGATATACATTAAAGTGGTCAAAAAATATATATACACAGAAAATGGTCAGTGTATCCACTTCCCCAAAGTCAACAGCAGCCACCCAAGGGCCTGACCAGGGCCCCAAGGCCAGGCGATATGATTAATAATTAACACAGCTGAGTCTGGCATGGAGTCCCAACAGGTGTCCCCTACCTCGGAACTCCCCTTTCGCTCCAGGTGGCCACGTCACTCAGTTAGGCTCTTAAAAGTCCAGCAAAGGGCCAGCACGCACTTCCAGGCCTGTCCAGAGGGAGCTGGGGTTGGACAGCAAGGAGCCCTTATCCCTGAGGGGTCTCTCTAGCAGGAGGGCAAACCGCCACAAACAGAATGGGGTGAGGAAATGTCTCTTCGAGTAAAGGCAAGCACCTTCCTTTCTGGGGGCACAGCCAGGCCACAGCTCCCCGCTGCTCCCCCGCAACCCCCTAAAAGAAACCATACACACACACACACACACACACAACTGAGAAAAACAAGACAGAAGCTGAGGAGCACAGGAAGGACAAGCCTCTTTTATTATCCCAAAATGCAAAGTGTTGAAGGCACTTACAATAACAAGGCAGGAGGGGAGGGAAGAAGAGGGGAGGGGAGAGGTGGGAAGCATGGGAGGTCAGAGGTCAGAGCACGGAGGTAAATCAGCAGGCCCCACCCTGGTCACCACAGGGCATGGAGGAAGGGAGAAGCTACAGGGCCAGGTCTGAAGGCAGTCAGGGTGTCTAGCTCTACCAAAGATACGAATCCATTCTACAGAGGATTAGGAAATTAGGAGCACAGGGCATCGAGGGGCAGGGCTGGGAGTCACGAGTTAGTGGTTCTTTACGGAACAGGCTCGGCAGTAACACGGGCCCTCAGGTCCCCTGCTGGAAGAGGTCTCTGTACATCTCGATGAGACGAGCGGCTTCACGCTGTCCAGAGAGCAGAGCACCATGGGTGGTAGAGTAGTACTTGCGGTGGGTGGCCTCACCTGAGAACAGCACCTGCATGGGCTGGGCAGGGGATGGGGAGGTTGAGCATGGAGGAGCAAGAGAGACCAAGAGGCTACCTGTCTGCCCTGGAAACCCCCATCCGTACTACAAGTCAGAGGACTGAGCGGGCATCTCAGATGCAGGGATTGCTGCTTGCACAGGATGAAGAGTTGCCCACCCCACCTGGCCACCTTCCCCTGCTTCTGCCCCAACACCAGGCCTCAGTTCTGTCTGCTCCAAGGCTTTTAGGGGTCCTGGCTCCGCAGTCTCAGAGGCTCACTGTGCCTCTATAGCAGTGAACTCAGGGAAAGCAGTTTAACCTCCCTAAGCCTTGGTGTTCTCATCTGCAAAATGGGTTTACACCACCTGTTTCCAAGGGTGGTGGGAGGATTAAGTGAAATAATGACTCTAAAGCACTTAGAACCTGGAAGAACATAAGCACTCAATAAAGTTAGGCGGCAATTTAACAAACCTTTATGGAGCCCCTGTTAGGATCCAGGGACTGTTCTGGGCACTTGGAAGATAAAAGGTGACCAGGCTGCTGCTTTGAGGAGCTTCCTTGCTGGTGGGGAAGCCAGACACGAAACCCAATTATTAATGGTGTCATATGTGACATGATGGGTGTCGGGTGAGGTGCTGAGAGCCCAGAAAAGAAGTTCATGGTTGAGGGGGGGGGACACACAAAGCTTCCCAGAGGACAGGACCTTGGGCTGCTTCTTGGAAGACAGTAGGTAAACAGGCAAAGGACGTTTCAAAAAGAAATGGGGGCAAAAATGCACCAAGGCAGGCCTTGTTCAGGGGTCAGTGACAATCTTGGCACAGCCAGGTCTCAACCTCGAGAACACAGGCTGTCTAGCTGGGGTCCAGGCAAAGCACGAGCGCCCCCATTTTCAGCTTGAGTTCGGACTTGACCCCAAGGCATCCCAAACTGAATGTGCAAAGGTGCCACACGGGGACCCTGGCAGGTCTGGAGTGGGCTAGGGGTCTGCACTTCTAGCACGGGGCTCCCACGTGACGCTGGAGCTGCTGGTCCACAGACCACCCACTCTGAGTAGGGAGGCGTTAACCCACCAAAAAGGAGCACACAGAAGTGGTGAAACTGAAAGGGAGAACTCCTATCACGGCAGAGGGCAAGGCTGCCTACTCCCACTTCCATTCTCCTTTCTCCTCGGTAACAAAGCCCTGCTTTTTAACTGGGCCCACAGCCATCCGGAATGAAAACGATGCATCCTAGCCTCTCCCACAGCTGGAACAGTCATGTGCCTGAGTTCCTGCCAGTCAGCTTCAAGGGCACTGCTGCTCAGAGACACGGATGCAGCCCTGAGGGTCCCCTTCCTTCCAGCCTAAAATACGGACACGAGAGCAGCAGCCTCTGCAGCCCTCTGGGGGGACCACACGGAAGCCTTGAAGATGGCGCGGGGTGCGTGTGATGCCGGGTCCTGACACCTGCCCTGGATTTCCCTCGGTGTGATACAAGTAACCTTCTGTCTGGTTCAAACCACAGTTGTTTCGGTTTTGTTTTGCTTAAGAGGATGGCTGCAGCAGCACTGAGGGCCTTCTCTCTCCACCAGGGCACAGCGCACCTTGCTGGCTGTTGACTCCACATGGGCAGATGGAGGGAGGCTGGTGGAAGCACCAATTCCACACACACAAAAATCTGTTTTAGATGTAATTTTGTTAGGGTTTTAACATTTATGGTATGTGCATGCTTATAGGGAAGGATTCAAAATCCACTTTATGGGAGCGGAAATATACCTAATTATGTCTCTCATATTTATTATTTACCTTACATATTATTTATTATATAGTTGACATAATTGGGGGGAGGGCAGGTATTCTCAATTTTACATTCTAAAACACTGAGGGCAAAAAGGAAAAGCACATCGGGAAAACCTGGTTCCACCTGATCGATGCTGGCCAGCAGAACTTTTCATGATGACGCAAACGCTCCGGAGCTACAAAACCTATCGTGGCAGCCACTGGCCACCTGTGGCTATTGACCCTGAAGTGCTGCTAGTGCAGCTGAGAAACTATAATTTTAATTTATTGATTTGCAGTTTAACTGACTTAAATGAAATGCGACTAATGGCTACCCACTGGACTGCACAGCACTAAATGGTGGAGTTGCTATAACCTCAAGAAAGTGTTTAAGGTCTCAGGCTGATCCCACTTTTTCTTCCAGATGTTAAGTGCGCAATTTGTCTTCTCTTCCATTCTAGGAGGCCCTCCACCCTGTCTCACCTTGGCACCCCTGGGGTGAAGGCCACCCTTCTCCCTCCTCCCCCTGGGCCAACACACATGCAGGTAGGCACGCACACCCCTCCCAGACCCTCCCTGCCCACCTCAGCCTGCTCACACCCGCACTCACCGCTGTCTTGGAGCTCTCTGTGTAGGGCAGGGGCTTGGCCAGCTTCTCCACGTCTGCCCCACTCGAGCCCACCTGCGTGTACGAATAGGAGCCTCGGAAGTAGGGATTGCTGCCCCAGGCCGAGCGCAGGATTCGCCGCGGTTTGGGAATGTTGGGGTTCCCTGTTGGGGAGTCAGGAGAGCCAAGAGGAAGGAGGATAAGAAATGGCTACACGCAGAAGACGCCCTGAGCAGAGCACCTCCCATCCACCTCCAGGCTCCCGAGAGGACCAGGCTGCTGTGGGCAGGCTGGGAAGACGGAGGAGGGGGAGACTGAGGTTCAAGCTGTGTACCCCTCACGCCCCCGTGTGACCCCAGAAAACCACCGCATCTCCCTGGGCCTTAATTTTCCTATCTGAAAAACATTCTAGACAAGCACGTTTCCTTCCAGTTTCAGGGGTTCTTGTGGGACTTCCCAGGGACAGTGGATGAACGATGTTCAACCAAAAGAATCCAACAATAAAACACAAATGCATCTCCCAGCAGGGCAATGAGGGAGACACGGGCAATCTGAGGTTTTGCGGTGACCGCTCGGTCAGTACCATCAGCCCTTAGGGAAGAGAAACACAGAGCCTATGGTTTGGAGCGTCTCGAGCTCCAGACAGGCAAGAGCCCACAATTTGGGAGCCCGAGGCTGAGACGTGGCACCGGGCCTCGGCTCTCCCGGCGGCGGCGCCACCCCCGGTTCACATCCGTGCAGGGAGAGCTCCCCACGGCTCCCCGGGATGCGCAGGGGCTGGCGGGCGGGAACCAGGCAGGCCCGCACCTGTGAACTGCCGCAGCATCTCCGTGCAGATCTCGGCCACCGCCTCGTCGTCGCACTTCTCCATGACCAGGGCCTCCTCCCCGCAGATCCAGCCGCTCAGCACGTGGCCGTAGCGCTCGGGCGGGTAGAGCACGTCGAAGCCGCAGATCTTGCGGTACCACAGCTCGGGAGGGTAGGTCAGGGGGCGGCTCTCCGCCTCGTCCTCCCACACGAACTGTAGGCTGTTGCACTCGGGGCCCCAGAAGGGCTCCTCGAACTCCAGAAAGATCTTGTCGGTGGTGCCGATGCCCAGGCGGTGGATGGCGGCCACCTTCTCGGCGGGCAGGCCCGGCCGGAAGAAGCTGGCGTGCTGCTTCTTGAGCACGCCCAGGGACACGGTCACGATCACATGGTCCGCCGGGACCACCTCGCAGTCCTCGCACTCCACCAGCACCGGCCACCGCTCCTCTTCGTCCCGCCCGTCTCCCAGAGGCTCCCCTCGGCCCTGGCCGCCTTCCCCGGCGTCGTGATTGTGGTCGCCCCTGCCCCGGGGCTCAATCTCCGGACCCCGGGGGCGGCCCGAGGCCTGGTCCCAGTGCACGCAGCGCACGGGTTTCCCGAGCTGGATGACGTGGGCCGGGATGCCCTCGGCCAGCAGCTCCACAACCCGCATGAAGCCTGAGGGGATGATGTGGTGGGCGCCGGGGATCTCCGTCCACTCCCCGAAGGCGCTCAGGGACACCTCGTCCATGCTGTGTGAGCTACTCTCACAGCTCTCCACCTGCGGAAAGCGCCAGAGAGAGAAGCCAGGTGACTCCTGGGCCTGGCCAGGAGTCCGAGCTGGACCTCAGAACAGCGTGCCCTCCTCGGACCCACATTCCCTAGAATGGCCTTCCTCACTCTGGCACCTATACTCAAATAAGCTCCCACACACAGAAAGATACCTTCAGGTACTGCTGGATCATGGCGAGCTTCAGGCGCTTGGTGTCCGCCGGTTCATCAGGGTCACTCCTGATTCGGTTGCGCACCTCATCGCGGGTGAACACCCCCACGCTGTTCTGACTCTCAGCATTGACTGGTTTACCATGCCGGAAGAACTCCTGGGTCAAGTTATAGACCTGCCAGAGAGACCCCAGGAGACTGAAAACACACTCCCTCCTCTCACCTCCGCCTCAGACCGGAGAGCCCCAATACTCTCCAGGTGTCCCCAGATACACCAAGCCTCTGACCCCTCTCCCCTTGATACATCATCACTGTGGTGCTCAACGCAGCAGTGGGACTCAACAGGGTCATGGTTCAAGGGTGGCAAGCTCCCCGGGCCGCCAGCCCCCCATCCAGGCGCCGGCGCCAAGGCCACCTGGGCTGTGAGGGAGGGAGGTGGGATGGGCCCTGGAGGCCCTGTTGCTGAGCCGTCATTTAGAAAAGTGAAATATTTGGTGTCTGCACGGTTTGTGGGAAAGGAACCGCCCCTCGTGGGGTCTCCATGGCCAAGCGGACTGCGGCTTTAGCACCCAGGTCTGCACACGGTTCCCTTTTCCAAGAAACAAATGGACAAACCCCTTCCCTGACACCTCTGCCCGGGCATATCTGCTTCACTCTCCCAAGAGGGCAGTCTGGAATGGTGACCTGGCCAGTGTGTTTGTTTTCGGTTTTTTTTAACCCTTACCCGAGGACATTTTTTCATTGCTTTAAGTGAGACAGAAGGGGAGGGGGGAACTAGAGAGAGAGAAACACTGATGTGAAAGAACACTGATCAGATGCCTCTCATATGCACCCCAACCAGTGACTGAACCTGCAACCTGAGTATGTGCTCAGACCAGAAACTGAACCTATAACCTTTCAGTCTACAGGACAACACTCCAACCAACAGAGCCACAGTGACTAGGGCCTGGCCAGTGTCTTGAGAGAAGGGGAGAAGCAGGGGCTCTGAAGTCTGACTCCCAGCAGATGCTGCCTGGCCCTGCTCACATCCACACAGGCTACTCCCTTTACTGGGGACTCAGACTCAGGTGAAAAAGAGGGCTGTGGAAGGGCAGGCACGTGGAGGGCAAGGAGGCCCCAGTGTGCCAAAGAATGGAAGTGCATTCCACAGGCATATCTTGTGAAGAACTTCAACCCACATCTCATCAACAGAAAGAAATGAACGACCCCTTGTGTAGGTCCCATTGCCTTTCCTGCCTGCCTGGTATATATCACCCCGACCAAACACTGGGCAGGTCTTCCTGAGGAAAAGAAGCCAGGCCTGGGTCAGACATGGGATTCCCCAACGGCAAGATCCAGGCCCCAGCACTCATCGACAAATGTTTACTGTGCTCTCTGCCAGACACAGGTTGTAAAAGTGAACCAGATGGACATAGTTCGGAACATCTGCCCTCACTCCAGCTGGGGAGACATCATAAAACATGCCATGGCAGGAAAGAGCTCCGGGGTTGTGAGATCGGCCCAGGCAGCCTTGGACAGTCAGGAGATGGCCAGATGGGCACTGGGAGGGAGAGGAAAAGTGTTTCAGGCAAAAGGAGCAGCATACTCAAAGATGAAAGAGAGGGAGAAGGGGAGAGACAACATAAGATGCACTGTGTTCAAAGTGGTTCGGTGTTGCTGACATGAGCGGCAAGGAAAGAGAAAGTGGCAAGAGATGACTTTGGAAAGGCAGGCAGGGGCTCTGGCAGGAAGGACCAAGGGTTTTTGTCAAGAACTCCAGCATCACTGAAGGGTTGTGAGCATGACCATATGTCCACTCTCCCTCCCTGAACACTGGCAAATGCAGGCTCCTTGGCCAAACAATGGTGGCTAGTGCTGACTGACGGTGTGCTTCCCTTCCTAAAGCACACATTCAGAAATGACTTCTGCCCTTTAACCCAGTCCTGGCACGGACCCTGCGGCTGTGGAGTGAAGGAAGGTGGCACTGACCACCCCCAACCATTCCACTCGAGGAAAAGGCCGCCACAGGAGAGAGAAAAATGAATTAAACATGCCTCTGAAGTATAAAATATAAAGAAGTAAATGAGTTAAACTGTTTGTTTTTCCTCCCTTCAGTCATGGATGCTTATGTTGACTAGAGGCCAAAATGTCCAGCTAAGGAGTAACAAATTTAGTCCACCTACATGACTCTCTGTGTCAATCACCAACCAAGACAGACATAACTGAACACGGATTTTTCATATAGGTACCATCTCCAGACCTGGGTTAAGTGACACCTTCCCAATGTGACCCAAGGGAAATGGGACAAGCCTGTAACAGCTAATACTCACCCCAATTCTCATTAAGCACTTTTCATCAGAATCTCATTTAATCCTCATGATACTGCACAGTAGATATAACTATGTCCATTTTACGGATGAGGAAAGTAAGGCTCAGATAGGTTAAATAACTTACTCAAGATTATACAGCTAATAAACTGTAAAGGCTGGTATTTGAGCCAAGGTAGCCTCACTCCAGAGAGTAAACTCTATGATACTATCGCAACTCATTTATCTGTTAACAAATATGATGCATTCGAATGAGAAGCCCTTCAAAGTCACCACCTTTGGAGGGAGGCTGCCTATTTGTTATGAAACCACCCTTAGGCAGGGCTTCACATGCTTAGAGCCCACATCTCGAGCATGGCCTCCAGTACAGGTTAACAGCCACACAGGGAAATCTATCTGGACCTCATCTTTAACACCTTTGCCCTCAGACCCAAAGCATCACTACCCAGACTGAGAACCCACCTTTCCCATCGTACTTTCTACAACTCACACTCTTGGATTTCAAAAATCAAAACCACAGGCAGAAGTTCACGATGATCTACTTTTAAGAACATTTAAAAGAACAAGTTGCGGGCCCTGAAGGTAACTCTCAAGAGGCCTCCATGCTCAAAACACTCACAACCTGAGAACTGAAGCATTACTGATCGCCAGTAGACCAGGAAGTTGCATATTGAAGAATACTGGTTCTTATCTACTCATTAATAATTCAGTCTCACACTGGCTGGGGTGGCTCAGTGAATTGAGTGACAGCCAGCCTGAGAACCAAAGGATCACCAGTTCAATTCCCAGTCAGGGCACATACCTGGGTTGCAGGCCAGGTCCCCAGTAGGGGACATGCGAGAGGCAACCACACATTGATGTTTCTCTCCCTCTCTTTCTCCCTCCCTTCTCCTCTTTCTAAAAATAAATAAATAAAATCTTTTAAAAATACATAAAGTAAAATCAAATAATTCAGTCTCTTTGCACATGTGTGAAAACACACAATACCAAGGGATTGTAGACAACATACCTTGTGGGTTCACACACATTAAGCCAGTCTCAGCGAGCAGGGATTACCCCAAAACAAGGGTCGTTTCTCCATTCCCATGCCCAAGAGATGTAGAAAATGTACAATTGGTGTTTTTTGGCCAATTTACGGACCTAGAACAAAGGATCTTTATAGTATAAACGACAAGGTATCAGAGGGCAGAGCCTACATGTTACCTTGCTTGTCCAGTGCAGTTCACAGCACCACTGAAAGATACTAAAAATATTAACATTTTTAAAAACCTGAATAAGACAAGGATATATGCCACTTCTATCCAACATTGTACTGGCAATGCTGGCCAATGCAATAAGGCAAGAAAAATAGTCTTAGGCTGTGCTGTCCAATACCGTAGCCACTAGACACCTGTAGCAACTTAAAATTGAATTGAATTAAATTAAATTAAATATTTACTTACTCAGTTTACTAGCTACATTTCAAGAGCTCAAGAGCCACGTGTGGCTAGTGACTACAATACTGGGTAGTACAGGTATAAGACATCTCCGTTACAGTGGAACGTTCTATTAGACAATGCTGGTCTGAGGATCAGAAAGGAAAAAAAACAGAATTCTCATTTTTTGTATAGAATCATAGACATAAAATTCCAAAACATAATCAGAATATAAATTAACATATTAATAGATACAGTATTAGAATTAAAATCATAATTTACCAAGGTAGCTAAAATCAATATATAAAAAATCAGTTATAGTTCTATATACCAGGAACAACCAGAAAATAGTTTTTTTTAAATTACCATTTACAAAAGTATCCAAAAGCAATAACAACAATCACCACCGAAGTATCTAGTAATAAATCTAATGGAAGATGTTTACAGCCTTTCTGCAGAAATATTTAATCATGTGTATCAATGATCTCTTATCTAGTAGTTCTCCACTCATCATCATTCTATCCGCAAATTGTCCTCGTGTCCAAATGCAGGATCCAGGGAGCGTGCATGGACATGACCAGGATCTTAGAAGGCCCCAGCAGGTCACTTGACTCCCTCCACACTGCCAAGGTGCTCCCTGCCCCCATACTCTATGCCTAGCTTCCCTGCTAACATCTCACCTCGTTGTATAAATCGCTGAATTCCTCAACCACGTCCTTGGGGATCCTGCGGCCACGGTTGGTAAGGTAGCAAGCCACGCCATTCTTGGAGTAGAGGCTGATGCGGCCCACACTGCGCTCCCCATCAGTAGTCTCTTCCAGAAGGCCGTTGGCTTCTGCTAGATGATAGATGGGATTCCCCTGGGAGCCATGGATCCAGGTGGCTCCCAGCTCAAAGGTGGTGTGTCCTGACGATGACAGCAATAGGCTCAGCAATAGGTGTGGAAACGTCTTCAGAGAGGGCTAGAACACCGCCTCGCCCTCCTCCCTCTAGAAGGACCATTCTACCCCCACCACAGAGCAGGATGGGTTTTAGGGTCACCCTCTAGCAACCACCAAGATTTTCAGTGAACGAATTACACTTTACAGCTGAGATAACTGCCACCCTGCATGATGAATGACTCAGTGATTTGCCACAGAGTCACCACACCAGAATAATTAGAAGCGGGCAGACCAGAGGGCACCAAAAACTTAGAACTCAATGCCATCTCCAGTGGGCTCCTCAGGGGCACTGGGAGCATTTATTACTCATCCTTCTCTAGAGCCTCAGGCTTGGGGCTCCCTAAAGAATCCTGCCTGGTTCCCACTCCCAACAGGAGCAGAAGAGGGCCAGCATCCTAGAGACCCTAGTAAACCCCGGGGCACAGTAGGGACTCCAAGTCACACAGCCACTGGGAAGCAATGTCCAGGCAATGTGGTATCCTTCCTGGCTCCAAACACTCAGCAAAGCAGGAACAACAGCAGCACTGCAAGGTCACTGTCCCACCTCATCCCCAGGCTCTGCCAGGAGGTGGGGCAGCCCAGAGCAGGCCCCAACCTGAGGCTACTTCCGCCCTTTCCCACATGCTCCTCTGCCTGGGTCATCCTTGCTACACCCCTGCAAGCAAAGGGTACTAGTTACTATCTCCGGGTCTACCCACCCCCAGCCCCCAGTATCCTTGGGGCCTCTCACTCTTGACCCCTGCTCTTACCACTGAGATTCACAGCTACCATCTCACACTGCAACAAGTCCAACTGCAGCCTCGGCTTTCGGCCCCAGGTGTCTCATACGCATCACATGCATGTCCGACCTTGCCTAGACATGTTCTCCCCTCTCCTGGCAGGTCTGCCTTGGTGTTACTCATATACATCATTGTACAAGTACCGCCTCAACCTTCTCACTACCACCCAACTCCCACCATCACTTGAGACCCACTCACCTCCCTCCCCCTGCTCAGTCTTCCTGCTGGACTGTGCAACCTCACAACCTCCTGAAGCCCCATCTCTTCCTCCTGGCTGCCCGTACCATCATTTCACTGCACTGAAGCTGAAGCTGGGCTATTTGTCCTCACATGTTCTGCTTCTGCGCAAGACTCTAAATGTCTTGTCCAGACTCAAAAACCACAAAGGCAGCAGCCCCTTCTCTAAGACTCCAGGCCAGCCAATCAGGTGTAAAGTAAAGAATCCCATGCTTCCCTGCTGGCCGTCTCTAGGTTTACAAATGCCTGGGATGGCGCCTCCATCCTTACTGCTAACACACTCTCCTGTGTGCAGTGTGTGTGCCAGATGAAGACAGGTGCAACCTCACCTACGCCATCCAGAAAATTCTATAGGGAAAGACTCCTAGCATGATCAAAGTCTCTGAAAGAAGAGAGAAGGGCCCCATGTGTCTCGACCTTGCTTAGTCTATGCCTGACCGCCTATTTCTCTTGCCCCATTCATCAAAAATGGGCACACAGAATCTGCTTGGCTTTGCTGCCCACAAGGGAACAGACACACAATCCTATGGTCAGTGCAGCCCAGAGTGCACGGTTCCTACCTGCTCAACCTCTCAATGGTCCGAGCCCCTGGCTGGGAAGCCCCGGCCTCCAGCTGCATTTCAGGCGATTCCCCATCTTCTAGGACCCTGGTATAACGTGCTCACCCCTGGGGTAAGTCTCTCAACCTGGCTCCTCTCTCCAGAGTCCTCATTACTCTGCACCTGGACAGACTCACGTCTCAGACAATGCTGAGACCTGTCCATCACCCACAAGAAGGACTCAAATCCCCTACCGCCTCCACTGCCCCGAGCTTCTATCGTCCCAGTTAACTCTCAGTCATAATACATTAATTCACACTCAAAAGGTAATGACTAACAGAAGCTCCCAGAATTCCTTCTTGTGAAAGAGAAACTGGTCCGTCCACAATGAAGAGACTTTGAGTCTGGCTGTCCCCTCCCTCCTAAACATTGTGAATCCCCGGTCATGTTCCAAAAATAGACGCCAAAACCCTACCCTGCCTACCTCAGAGGGCTACTGACAGGGGCAAAGGAAGCTTATGGAAAACATCCACGCAACATGCGTGATGGAACGCTTACCCGAGGGAAGCAGCTAGAATAATGAGGTTTCACGCAGGGTCAAGACACTGGGGGACAAGAGGTGGCACTCACCGAGTTTCACACTCTCCACGCGGCCTCCGATGCGGCTGGAAGCCTCAAGCACAGTGACATCCGTGAAGCCCTGCTCCAGAAGCGCTTTGGCTGCAGCCAGGCCAGCCAAGCCAGCACCGATCACCACCACACGAGGCTGTCCCCTTCTCCGAAGGCCACGACTGAGAGGGTCATCCGCACTGTCGCCACTGGGTTCACAACTTTGCATACCGTCCGCACTCGCCTCCTAGAAACCTGCAGGGAGCAGGGACATCACGGCTTCCCTGGGGCGCCTTCACCTCCCATCTGCCCCAGGGGGCACTCAGGGACCCTGCCCTCAAGGGGAGACCTTGAGCCCTCCCTGTCCTCCTTGAGGCCCTGGAAGTAAGAGCCACCTCCAAAGGATGTGGGAAGGGAGAAGAGACACAAGGAACGAGAATGGAAGAAAAGGATGCATTACGGGCCCCCACCAGCAAGCTGGAGTGCTGGGGGCCCACTCTGAGCCCCTGAAAGCCATCAGTCCCATCCAAAACCTGGTAGGCACTACTCCTTCCCCAAGGCTCAGAGACAAAAGCCAGCCAGGAAGAGGGTGACCAAGAAGGCCAAAGTCAAGTGACTCTGGCACTACTGACCCTGGACCAGCTGGGCCCAGCACAGCTGCTGTGGTTCAGCTCACACCAACCCAAGGATGCTCGCAACAACCCCAGATACTTACACACACAGCGCTGGACCCTCTGCTCTCCCTCCCTTGTCTAGCTCTTCCCCAGCACTCTCTCTTCCTTGCCCCTTCTCCTCTCCTCCGGATTTCTATTTATTGGTCTTTCACAGCCTCAACGAGGTGGCAATTTGGTGGGAAGGACATAGTACTGCCCTCCCCCCAGAAATGCCACAAGGCCAGTATTGGATGAGCCTCTGCTATTCTGGGTAGATCTCTGGTTGTTTTCCCCAGCCATCCAGCCCCTCAGCCACCACAAAGCAGCAAGGAGCCCAGGAAACAGTGGACCGTGAGGACCCGCGGCACCAGAGGCCAGACATCAAATTGACAGTTACACTAAGCCAGCTTGCTCAGAGACGCCAGGCTAGGGAGCCGATGGCTAGGAGGCCAAGGGGGTCCCTGAATCTGGCCCAAGGGCTGGGAGAGGCCACCCTCCTATTCCCAAAGTAACCACAAAAACCTGAAGGTGTCCACAGGTTACCCCATGAGGCCGCTCCGCTCTGATTCCGTCCCTGTTCCTTTCCTGACCCAAGCAACTTAGATTCCAGTTGCCTTTGCTGAGGTTTCAGTGGCAGAAGCTGCAGATTCTAACAGCATCCAGGACCTAACAACAGGGGGCAAATACAGGTGGGAGGTGGCTACTGGGTGGCAGACAGGGGCCATCTAAAAAGCTGTCACCTGGCCCTGGCTGGTATAGCTCAGTGGATTGAGCACGGGCCTGTGAACCAAAAGGTCACTGGTTCAATTCCCAGTCAGGGTACATGCCTGGGCTGCAGGCCAGTTCCCAGCAGGGGACACATGAGAAGCAACCATACATTGATATTTCTCTCCCTCTCTCCTTCCCTTCACTTCTAAAGATAAATAAATAAAAAAATTTTAAAAGGCTGTCGTCTGTACCTAATACAGCATATTCCACCAACTAGCCATGCTAAAGAGTGTTTACAGCAGGTTTATTCATAATAGCCAAACCCTAGAAACAACCTAAAGGTCCATCCACAGAACAACGGATAAATTTATTGAGTTATGTATAACATCCACGCAAGGGAACGTTCTCAGCAATAATCTCAACATTACACTGGGTAAAAGAAGTCAGAGATAAAAGAGCTCATACTCTATGACTCCATTCGCTTAAAGTTCGTGAAGAGGTCAGATGGACCTGTGCTGACAGAAGGGAGGGAGCCTGAAAAGGATGAGGAGGGAACTTTCTGGGTGGAGGAATGTACATCTCGGTCTGGGTGGCGGTTACAATGTATGTATAAGGATCCACAGAGTCGGACAGGTAGCGTGGGTGCCATTCCCTGCCTGCATGTTACTCTGTAACCATTCGGATATCCGTTCCTGGCTCCCTATAAAAAAAACAAAAGTTGGCACACTGACTTCCTTCTCCACACATTTCAAGTTCTGGTACGGGGGTCTTTTCCCCAAAATGCTCAAGCTGAGAAGCTGTTCCTCATGCCTCCCCCCATCCACTCCACCTGCCCATACCACGTCCAGGCATGAGCTGCCCCCAAACGCCCTCCAAAACCCCCAGGCCCAGGTCAACTCGCTGCAGAACTGATCTCCCAGAAGGCCAGAAGGTGGTGCCCAAGGCCCGGAGCTCCAAGGAGGGGCTGGGCAACTCTTGACTGGGGCCCTGCCCCCCTCCAGGACAGCTGGTAACTCGGCTGTCCCACTCCCCTCCCTCCTCCTTCAGTCCTTGTGTCCCTCCACCGCCCCTTCTCCCCACCAACCCCTCCTGATGTTCCCTCCATGCCACAAGGGGTCAGGGCTGGCTCCAGTCCACTACTCCCCCCCTTCCCTCCCCCTGGTTCTCCAAAGGGAAGTAAACCTAGAGGTGAGGGTGTGGCTGCCTGCACCCCCCCCACCCCCGCCAGGGCTGCCAGCAGGTCTGTAAACACACTGGGTGGGGGTGCTGGGAGCTGCTGGTGACGCCACCACTGCTGGGCACCCAAGGACAACACAGTAGGATGTGGCTCTGCTGCCCTCCCTGCCCACACACCCAGGTCCCGAGGGCCGGGGGTTCTGCTCACATGCTTGTTTCTGGGCCTCCATTCCTATCCCCAGCCCTAGGCCACCCCCCCCCCCAAAAAAAATCTCTTCTATACAATAAAGGGGTGGGACCAATACAGTGGTTCTCAAACCTTATTGGTGAAACCTCTTCTCAAAGAGCTCCTGCTGGGCCCAGAGTGTGACCGGGATGAAACTGGGGGACCTACCCCCACTGAAGTCTCATCACAGAAGCCCCCAGGCTCCTGGGGTACTACCCCTAAAAACCCAGGTCTGAATGAGCTGCTACCTTGGGCAGCACCTTCCCAGCCAGCTACCTGAACTTCCTTCTCTCCATAGTGGCCAGTGGTCCTCACTACATTGTTGTGACCAACGAATAAGGCCCTAGTGGATGTCGGGACATTGTCATCATGTTCACGATCTTCTCATGTGTGAAAGCCATTTGTAAAGTTCTGTAGCTAAATCATGAGCAGGCTGTCTTCGGGACCCGGTTCAGGAATGGATTGTGGGAGGTGCAGGCGGGCAGCTTGCCTTTAAAATGAACCCAGAAAGAGCCCTGGCCGGTGCGGCCCAGTTGTTTGGAACATCCAGTACACCAAAAGACTGAGGGTTCAATACCCAGTCACGGCACATACCTAGGTTGCGGGTTCAAGCCCGGTTAGGGGAGACTACCAGAAGCAGCGGGCCAATGTTTCTGATGTTTCTCTGTTACGCCAGTGTTTTTCTCTCTCTCCCCGCTCCTGCCCCCCTCTAAAAACAGTAAAAAAATACCCTCTAGTGAGGATAACAAATACACCACTAAATAAATGTTTTAAATGAACACAGAAAGAATCCTGAGTTCCCAGTATCAGAGACCTTGAACTCCTGCAGCCATCGCACGTGGGGTGCCACAGTGGAACAGGGCGGTGAGGCCACAGAGGTCACCGGACACTCACAGCCAGTTCCAGACGGGCCGTCAACCCCCAAGAAGCCAGAGAGGCCCCTGGCACAGCCCACAGAGGGCAGAGAGATAAGGACTCAGTACTCCCCTCCCCCTATCGGCCTTTGGTGCCAAGAGAGAAAACCAGGTGCAGGGGGCACCTACTGTGTGCTGGGCACCTACTGTGTGCTGGGCCCCCAGCTAAATGCTGAACCGGGCCTTCAGGTGCTGCATTCTCTGGTTGGGGGTGGCGGGAGCAACCTGTTTGCCACTGGTTTGTATCATCTTTCCCCTTCAAATTATGGTTTAGTTTTGTGAGAAGATGCCTTGCTGAGGAAGAAGAATCACTTAATGCTCCTCAGTGCCTGCCTGCCCTTCTGCAGACTTGGAGGAAGAAATAAATAAATAAATAAATAAATAAATAGCATCCGCTCCTTGATCTGTATGCACAGGAGAAACAGGACACCCTGTACTTTTTGAGCAGATAAAGGAGAGAAGAAAAAAGTGCTGGCTCAGCCAGGCAGGGAGGAGGAGGAGGAGGAGTGGGGGGGAGGAGAGAGGCGAGAGGCACAGGGCAACAGCGCTTGCCTCCTTGTTCCTGCTTCTAGGGCAAAATGGGGGTGGGAGCCTGGGGACCCCATGTCCCCAAGCAGGCCAAGCCTGCTAAGCTTCAAGAAATCAGGCCAGACTCTGCAGGAATGTCTCGCCGCCATTCGAGATGCCCCAGTGCCCCTGTGCCCCTCCCCCACCCTTCTTCCCATTCTGGCCTGCGGGCCACCACTCCCCGGGCCACCCAGAGCCAACGCTGCCACGACTGACCTGCCCAAGAAGCCCAACAGGAAAGACGGAAGCAGGGAGAGACCAAACAGAAGAAAAGCCCTGTCCGGTGGCAGGGTCACCAAACAAGGACGGATGAAGACTAGGAGGCCACGCAATGGGAACAGGCTCCAGCAGCCAAGCATGTGCCCACTCCCCCCCACCCTCTTCTCTCAGTATCCCCACCAGCCGCATTTGTCACCCTGAGATTTGTCCTCCAAGAACTGCCTCCTAATTGTCAATTATTAGAGATGTGTGTTAGTCCTGGGCTCCCGCATCCGACCCTGCCCATCCCCTCTTGGAAACGCCCAGAACTGGGCTGGGGGCACCACACGACTCCTTACACTTTCCCAATGGCAGTTAAAAGCACTGCAGTGCCAAGCACTCCCAGGATCAAAACTGAAGCAGCTTGGAGTGGAAGACCCACCCTCATCCATCAGGTCAAGCCATGTCAACCCCACAACCCCCAAAACTATTACCTCCACCTTCAACTTGCCCAGGTGGCGGCCTGCCCCCTCCACCTGAACCGCACTCCTGCAGAACTGCTCAGCCATCCCCTCAAAGGCAAGTATGGCCAGGCCTCTCGTTGACCAGGAATAAATTCTAGCCATTCCCTGAGCACCTATGATGTACCAGGCATGAGGAAGGCCTTAGCCCTTGACCCTCTCTGGTCCTAGCTGACCTTTCTGGCTTGGGTTTTCACTCACACCCCTCAGACACACACACATACCCCAGCTTCACCAAACCCTCGAGCATCCCCAGTGCAACCCCACTGAAGGCCCGAGGGAAATATCCCTGCCGCACACGTCAGTGAAGGTGGCTCTCGGTTCTCTTACACGCTCACCTTTGTGCAGGGTGCTGCAGGTGTGCAGGTGTGCAGGTGCACGGTTGTCTGTTACTCGGACAGTAGACCAGCAAGGCCTATTCCACTGATGTTTCCTAAAGCAACAGACACCCTGGAAAGGTGAGTTCCTTTTACCGAATCTGCTCTACAACCACCTGGCCCCTGCCTATTCTCAAAACAGGAGCATCTCACCCCACCCCCAGAAATACTGTTGCCTATTACTCCAGAGTGAGGCTACAGCCCCATGATCACCGAGCAGAACCACAGTCCCAGGCGAAATGGATGACCCCTCCCCAAGCCTAGGAGTCAACTGCAAGGAGGGTCAGTGGTCCAGCTCAGAACAGGGTGCCCCTTCCTCCTCAGGGTTGGGAGTCCACTTTCCCCTCCCCCAACAGCGGCCACTACAACAAAGGTCCAGTTTTCCAGGTGCCCTTCCAAATTCACGCCTCAGAAGAAATAAGACATCCTTGTTTCTATAGTGTTTCTACACTTCCTTGGCTTCCCGCTAAACACAGGCTACTCCCAAACGTGTCTTCTTCCTGTCCCTCTCTCAAGGTCACCCAAGTGAAAGACCCAAAGGAGCAGAGCGTGCCAAGGCCAGCTGGCCCACCTGACTCACCCCTCAGGGTCCAGCCTCCACCAGCTGAAGCCCTCCCTCCAAAACAAGCCCACCCCTTCCAACCAGCAGGCTCCTCCCCCCCCCAAGCCCCATGACTGCTGGTGTGAGCCCTCCCAGGACTGGGGGTGGGAGGCCACCTGCACCCCTCCCAACCAACCTTGTGGAATTCCAAGCCTCCCCACCCTCCCACCCCCACCCCCCTACCCATACTCCTAGTGCTTAAGGGCAGCAGCCCTAACTCAGTTTCCCTGGAGGGACCCCTCTGCGTCTGGCTTCCAACAGGAGGGGAGGAGTGGGGGCTTTCAAGGGAAATCTCTTCGGACTGCCTGGCAGGTCTGGGGAGGGATTTGGATTCTCTAGGGGCCCCCCAGACAATGCAATTATTCTTCAGATAAAAAAACACCCAGAAATCCCAGACCAGCTGCTTTGCACAGTGGCCCAGACAAAGGGGCTCTGTGTCTGCCTGCAGGGCTCCTCCCACCCCTCAACCCCGGGAGGGGGGCTGGGCCTGAACTCCTCCCAGCCCGACCCTCCCCAGTCCTCCTCACCCAGGCTGGCCAGCCAGGAAGTGGAAGAGGCAGGATAGCTTGGCCAGGCCTGGCCAGTGACTGATGGCCGGGTGGGGGAGGGTCTGACACAGGACAGGGGCAATTT